GGCCCTAGTGGTGCTTGAATTGGACCTATCTTAATTTACCACATTCAGCATCTTTAATTTACACATTATCGTATTATTTTCAAATTTTTTTACGATACAAGGTTCTAACATAGGTTTAATTTGAAAATATATTTCAAAGTTGATTTAGTAAACTAACCCTGCGTAAAATAGATACAAATGATTACTTTCGTTTGTAAATAGTGCTTAATATTGATTGAAAAAATAGCCGTTCCTGGTAACTTTGTGACAGCTAGCTGGGAGTCTTCGTCTGGGACTTTGGCCATAGTGGTCGAACAAAGTTTGTTAGGATCCGGTTTCGCCCCTCCTTTCCCTTTTAGATCAATCTTTCCACGTTTTTTGTACAAAGTAATCGGAGGAGATCTTTGTGAAACCCCATCGAGCAAAAGTTTGAAATTGGCCGTAGTTGAGAAACATATGGAGGGTTGAATCCTTGGGTACTACAGTTATCGAAGCGCTCGATTTGATTTATCGTCCTGCTTGCGAAATTCTTGCGAATGGAACGATGGTCAATTATGCTGCTTCTCTCTGAACTTCAACATGTATGCAGTAAACTACTAATTTGCGCAGTCATATTTTTCCTCCTATGAATCCAAGTGAATTGAAAGGTTGATGGAATTGGTTCCAAACAATTAGAAAAAGTTTAACGAAAATAATTGTACTTATATTTTGCTTCTAAGTTTACAGAAATAAAATAGAAAAAATATACTAGCGCAAATTAAGAATTAGAAGAATTAAACAAGTATTTGCGTGGAGTTTGCTCACATTTTTGCCATAACTACAGAAAAACAATACGTATCGCTTTCATAACATGACTGTAAACGTTTTGCTGTGTGAAGCAAGGTGATGATTTTGTTGGATCCAGCAATACAGTTATAACAAATGGACGTAAATAGTTAACGATGAACAAAGACATAAGCTCAGAAGTGCTAGTCATAGAATTATAAACCAGGTTATTATTATTTTAATAGATTTGACTATCCCCTTGATACTCTTTCTCATTTTACATCTGGTATAATCAATTTGACAGATCGATGTCTTTCTATAGCACTTGAAATCACTGAAATGGGGTCGATTTTTGATGATCGAGTTCCACATATGTTATGTACACCAACTTAAACAGAGAACTGAGAACTTAAGGTTAGTTTCAAGATCATCAGGGAAGATCAAAGAACTTCAGGGTAGTTCGGCTAATTTCTAAGAAAACTGCAAGATTTATGCAGAGGTACCGAGGATCTCATAAAAAGTTTTCCATGTTCAAGAACAAATATCTAAGTGTTTAAAATCTTCAAGTTTAAGCGACAAGAACCTTTGATATCTTAGCCAATTACATTTCAAGAACTGGCAGCCCTATTGCATGTTTTGTGCATATTGCCTTTATATTGTAAACTAACTACTCAGAACTTCCATAAATGGATCCTTGAACCATTTTTCGAATTAATATGAGTACATTAGGCCAGATATTCCAGTAAATGGAGTATTTCAGTATTATTTTAAAAATTATAAAGATCATCAATTATTTTTTTTTTGACGTAGCACTACGATTTCTATATGAGGGTACACTTTGTGAAAACCGAAAATGGAACATGGAACAAAATTATGAAAGATGTTGCACGTTTATTACTCAGCTGCCCCTGGACCAATTTCAATATCTTTATCACCAATCGATCAGAAATACTTCTACGCATCGATTTTCAACAAGAAACTATTCGTAATCGGTTAACCAATTACGTACATGTATATGCTGCTTCCCAAACACAGTCATCAGAGAGTCGTTAATAGACGAAAAAAGTCGAAGTGGCATTCGCCTCCAATCTTCGGGCGTGTGCGAATAGAGAGGATGCAATTGCGTAACATTTTGCACACTCATCGCCATATTTAGAACCACAGGCCCCTAACGACCTCACAAAATGCTCTCGAGAGTGGTAATATTATAACCAAACTTGGAAGCAGGGGTGCAAGTGATTTTGATCTATTCTCTCCATAGATTTTCTGTTTCGTTAATAACTCGACGGCAAATAATTTCATTGATACGTTTGTTGTTCTGGATGATGGAATAGCATAGCAGGAATAGTGCGAAATAGGTTAGTGAAGCCGTGGTCATTAAAAGAGGAAATCGATAAAGAGAATTGACTTTCACCCCTCTGCTTCTAAGCCTCTTAATTCAGTCGTCATCATAGCAATAAAAAAAGGTTAGCTAACGCGATTGAGCTGACACCGCTTCTTATTTCTACTCGTTGGATTTAGCGCAGTAGAGAAAATAAATAAAAATAGGGTAGAGAACTACTTCGGCCTAATCGCCCATTTTGGGCCTATCGAGCAGAAAACTTCAAATAAATCCATGATTTCAGAGTAAACAAGTCAATTAAGCGTTTGGTACGATACTTTAGTTAATAAGCTACCGAAAGAAGTCAATGAGAACGCGTGATATGAAGGTTTGCACCTATTATTCTCAAAAACAAAAGAAGCGCTCCGACCGAATCAATTTTTATCTTCATCCGATAGGCCGAAGTGAATTCATTGGCGTTTCAATGGGGTTTCAATGCGTTAGGCCGAGTTTAGAATCCGTAGGCCGAGTTTGGCGTCAAGAAGCAGTGTTAGACTTTTGACAATATCTCAACAATTGGTTTCTCTTCATCAAATCTTACGGTACGTACGGAAAGGTAAATAAATTTGGAAGCCATCAGTAATATTAACATTCCGTTTGGTGCTAAACTGCGCTAGATTAAGAAATACTACGTGCGGGTTGTGCTTAATAGGCCGGAAATGGGGTAGTTAACCCTACTAATTTATCTGAACAGGCATAGAGAAGAATCATGACGTGAAACAGGATCATAAATTCGCCGAAAAAAGTGTTAAGCGTCTTTCTGCTAAAGGCTAAGATTTACCAAATTGTTGAGAGAAAGAGTTTAACGAGACAAACTAAAAAGGGGAGGAGCTGGGTGGACACTAGAGTGATGCAAAATTTGAAATTTTCACTCCACAATACATAAACGATTCCAATTCAGATCCTGACTACCCTCTCAAAATTTGAACCCATTTGGTGAGAAACTAAGATGGCACAAACCGTTTGAAGTTTGTATGGGAATTACTATGGTAAAACCAAGATTTTTGTTCATGTCTATCTAGTAATTCACCAAATCGGTTTGCTTCAAAAGCTTTCAACTGTTCTTGTAGAAATTTTTCCAGCTACAACTTTGCTGAAGACTACTTTTTGATTAAATGCAAGGATCAATGGTTCAATGCGCTGATGTCTTATGATCATGCTCAACTGCTCAACTGCTCAGCAGGCAACATTGGTTTTTCTGGGGCGTTGAATAGGACACAAAAATCATGGCTACTATGTCACACTGCAAAATACAGTGTTGCCTATAGAGCAGCTGCTTGATCATGTCATAAGTTTACCAATCTCTTAAATAATTAATAACTTTTTCCTGTCTCATTTTACATAGAAACGATCTTGAGCAAAGTTGTAGCTGAGAAAATTTTCTATAAGAATGGCTATCGAACTGTTTCGCAGCTCAATATGGAAAAAGACTAGAAGGCAATGAACAAAAAGTTGAGATTTCCCATAGTAATTTACATGTAAACTTCAAATGGCTTGTGCGAAGTTTGTTTCTAACCAAATGAGTTGTAACTTTGGGAGGCTAATCAGGACCCGATTTGAAACCATTTAAGCACTGTGGAGCAAAAAAGTCAAATTTTGCATCAGTCTAGTGGACACTTATATTCTGCGGCCTTCCCAACCTGTCGCAGACACAAGTTCAACCCCTGTCCAGCAGCAGACGGATCGAGGCTCTTGCGAGAGCCGAATCATTGAACCGAAGAATATGGGATTGTCTGGTCAGATTTGCTGATCCAGTTGCCTACACATCATCATCATCTTCCAACGGCTTTAAGCCTGTACTACCATCGGCCACCACAATTTTCCAAAAGAGTTAAATTTCTGAATATGTCCCAACTAAAATTCATATCAAAAGGTTCTTTTCAGGGCAATCATAGCCATACTAGAGAGATAACCCTGCTCAAATTCCTATTCCTACAAAAAACACAAGCTTCTGCTGCAGTTTTAAAATAAGATTTATTATATAAGACCACATAGTCTTACGTCACCATTGAGTACAACCCCATAGGACTGTCCCTTGTAGTGTAGTTTTTTTTTTAATCTACTAGTCGATAATTGTATAGCTCGATGGTCTCTTCAATATTCAGTTATGGAGAGTTGACTGTATCTCAAAATGTCGTTTTCCAATTTTTGATTTTTTTTTCCAAAGAAGAGCTTATGAAAATTGCAAAATTTTGAAATGTCTAAAATCAAAGAACAAGAATTTTTGTTCTAATTTATGAACTTTTTGCTAGTACGTTGTTTTGAGTATTTTTCACGGAAATTGATTTAAAATGTTAATAACATTGTTTTTTGAGTAAAAAGGATAGTGTTTCACGATTTTTGGCAATTTTAAATTGTTCATGGTTTTAAAAATTCCTAAAGTTTACATATTTTATTAACTTTCTAAAAAAACATATAAATTTACCAGGGACATTTTAACATTTTATTTTTAATTTTTACTTGTAATTACTAAACACATTTTCCTTTGTTTTCCCAGAGAAACATTATTTTTCTCTACAACGTTGTCTGCCGTCACCGTGATAAATTTTTTTGAAAAATTTCAAAGACAGTATTTTGAAAATTTTACATGATATAAAATGGTCAAATTTTAGCAAAAATGTGAATCATTGCCCACAACAAACAAATATGTAAAGTTTCATGCGTATCGGAGAAGGTCGATTTTGGTTGTTTGGCATGGAACTTCTAAACTCTCTTGAAAAGCTTAAACTTAAAATGTGTTCCGTTAAAATTAACGAAACACCGGGTCACACAAGCAGGGGTGTACTGATCTAGGATGTGCGATACCACTTACTTCATTTTTTTTTCTTGCCTAGTCTGAAGATGTAACATATTTTCTCATTCGTTTTAATTCCAGATTGCCCCACCTGAGGATAACCACTCAACTGAAAAGAAAAAAAATAGAAAATTTCCGGCGCCTTCAGGATCCGGTGGAAATCCTTCGAGGTGGCCATTATTTTTACACCGTTAAAAGTGCTGGATTTGATCACCTGTCTCTACCGCTTCCTGTCCTTCTCGGTAGCATCAGCCAATAGGATAATCCTAGCGAGTTTCGCCGTTTTCATTACCGTCATCTTCGCGAAGGTGAACCAGTAAGGAATCAACTCATTCACTTTGCGTTACAGTGCAATCTCGCAAGGCTCGCTCCATGTGCCGAGGCTAGTAAGTGGTAATTTTTCCAAGCAAACGTGCCGTTTCCCAATTGACCTGTATCTGTGGAGAAGGAATGGGATGATAGAATGAAGCTATTTCCCCGCAAGGATGGCAGTAATTAAACGTTGACCGGTCCAGATCAAGTAGTGGTGGTTGTGAAATTGGTGACAAAAAAAAAGAAGGAGTAATTTGGGTGAAGAAATTGGTGTGTCAGAAAGTGCATTCGAAAGCGTTCCTGGAATATCAATCGAAAGTGAAAATTGAAAAGTATTTCTCCCGCAGAGCAAAGCGAGCGCTATGGAAGCTGTGATTGGATTTTTCCTGTTTCTGTTGGCGATCGGATTACAAAGTGGTAAGTGACAGCTTGTTGGTGTTTGCCGAGGTGTTTCTTTGAAAGTAAACTGATTGGATATATCAATGTGTTTTGAGATATGTGTGTTTGAAAGGGTGGATTCGAATTTTTTTTTGAGTTGGGTCGTGAAGGTTTCGGAGAATTGTTTTTGATTTTTCAAGCTGGTGAGTAGAATTGCTTTGATGAAATGTGAGTTCTGTTAAACATGACAGTCCCCAAGATAAGAAATCACTGCTTGTATAGAATCGAAAATTAGTAAAGATTGTGTAATTGTATAGAACGTATATACGAATGGTAGCCGTTGCATGATGTTTTAGGTTAGTAATATCTAATACAAAATGACTTCTATATGATTATTTATAATTTGTTCATGATGCTAAAAGTATCAGACCTAAAGTGACAAACATTTTATATATTTGCTGCTGTACATGAATGACGTCAATACCATCCTGAAATGCCTTAAACTATCGTATGCGGGCGACTTGAAACTCTACATGTGTCTTAAACTTATCATGTGTCTCTGAACCTTTCCAGGATGAATACTCTCCGTTCTTCTAATGTCTGAATTGCAGCCAGGAGATGGATCTCAGAATTTCTATTCCGCGGGACCATCCTAAGGATCTTGTTCTGGATCCTTTGGAGTTTAAGGTGATGACATTTTGCGCAACTCTCCCAGATTGGCATACCGTACTCGATTACAGGAAGGATGATTTGTTTGTAGACAGCAAGTTTATTTTTCAGGGACAGGATTGATTTCCTGTTGATAAGTGGATACAACAATCTTATCAAGATGCTGCTCTTAGTTTTGGTTTTGTCAACGTGCTCCCTGAAAAGAAGCTTGCTGTCTAGTGTTAGCCCGAGGTACACGATCTCTTTGGACCATTCCACCACTGAGCCGTTAAGGCAGATCTTTTTATTCTCCGACGGAACAAGTCTAGGAGATTTAGAGTGTGGAAAGATAATGACCTGGGTCTTTGCCGCGTTGATACGGATCTTCCAGCTGTTGAAATATTCAGACAGGACGTCCAGGCCTCTCTGAAGTTTGGCAGTCAGAGCTCCGATGACCCTACCCTTGTAGACGATGGATGTGTCATCTGCGAACAGAGACAACGATCCACCATCAGGGAGAGCCGGCATATCGGAGGTGAACAGGTTGAATAGGATGGGGCGAAGGATGCTTCCTTGTGGAACCCCGGCACGGATGTTGAAAGCATCCGATGTGATGCCATTCAGAGAGACTCGGAACGTCCTGTCTGATAGATAGTTGTTTATGATCTTCACTAGGAAGATTGGAAGACCGTACTGCTGCAATTTGAACACCAGGCCATCATGCCAGACATTGTCGAACGTTTTTTCAACGTCCAACAACGCCATGGCAGATGTTTTCGAAACAGACTTGTTCCGTCTGAGAATGTTTGTTACTCGAGTCAGCTGGTTGACGGTCGAACGACCTTTCCGAAAACCAAACTGTTCCTCGAGCAACAAGTTGTTTTCATCGGCAGATGTTAGGAGCCGGTGGTACAGTGCTCTTTCGAACAGTTTTGATAACCCTGAGAGAAGGCGGATTGGTCAATAACTTGAAGGAGAGGACGGATCCTGCCCAGGTTTCCGGATGGGTATGACTTTAGCTGACTTCCAACACGAGGGGAAGTAGCCAAGTCTGAGGCACTGATTAAAAATCAGTGCCAGATGGTTGTAGAATCTGGAACTCAAGTGTTTGAGTTCCAGATTCAGGATGTTGTCGAAACCTGGGGCCTTGTTAGGAATCTGAAGAAGCTTGGTTGCATTTTCAGCATCCTCAGATTCATGAGGGCTGACGATGATTTGTCCGAGATTATGGGAGCTGACGAAGTGTTGACCTATCGCGGCAGCCTTCTCTTCAGGAGTTATCAGATGAAACACTGGATCGCCGGGACGATCCAGTGGGGTCAGTGGGGGAATGGGCCTAGGCTTGTTTTTAAGAATTTTTGTAAGTTTCCAGAAGGGCTTAGCACAATCTGGGAGAAAGCGGATCTTACTAGCAAAATCGTTATTTCTGAGATGCACCATCCTGGCCTGAATGATCTTTGTTAATCGATTACAATTGGTCTTCAAGTTAGGCAGGCCAGTACGCTGGTACTGCCTACGAATGGTGTTACGGAGTCTAATGAGATCTTAGGTAGGGCTGTCAAGGTTCAGAGTGTTACTCACCTGTCTGGATATTGGCACGTGTTGTTACCTGGCCCGGGAAATCGCCTCCTCGATGGTTTGTAGACACCGGTCAACATCTTCCGACGTCCCCGGTTGGACATCGTAGTCGATGGTTGTGTCGACGCTGTGTTGATATTGCGCCCAGTTGACTCGATGGTAGTTGCGCCGGGAAGCTTCGAATCGGTTTACCGAGGATCCAACTTCGGTCCGAGCTCAGCTCCTGGAATGCCACAGGTTGCGAGACGTTGTGTCCCATGTTGCTTACGAAGATGTCGATGGTCGCATGGACCCCAGACCGACTCAACCGGGTTGGAGAGTCCGGGGCCAAGATGGTATAGTGGCCCTCTTGTAGGTCTTAATTGAGGATGATGCCGTTTCTATTGCTCCGACCGTTGCCACAAGCTTGCTGTTTTGCGTTCAGATCGCCAGCGATGATAAAGTTCCCGCTCCTCCGGGTGAGTTTGATGATGTCTTTGCGGAGGGCCACTAACGACCCGTCCCTGATGTTGGTTTGCTTGGGGCAGTAGGCCGCGATGATGGTGATTAGGCCAAGTGATGTGCTCACCTCCACTCCGATGGCTTCAATTGTTTTCAGCTGGAAGTTTGGTAGCAGCCGGCAACTGATGTTGCGTCTTGCAGCGATGGCCACTCCTCCACCTCTAGAGCAGGTGCGATCAAGTCTGACGAGCCGGAAGTCGGGAAGGAATACGTTCAGTTCGGGCTTCAGATGCGTCTCGGTGATGATAGCAATGTCGACCTCCTTGGTGTTGACGAAATCGAGTAGCTCTCTATGCTTGTTCGTCAGTGAGCAAGCGTTCCAATTTGCAATTTTTATAGCTTCACGGTCCATACTTGGTGACAAGGCAGCATGAAGCTGTTCAGATTGAGTCTTGTAGGTGCGCAGAATGACGATCACCTCTGCAACCAGCGTTACTAGTTCCTCTGATGTTAACGGAGATTCGTCAACTGAGTCACCTGAGGCAACACGGGCATATGATAGTCCAGGCGCCCAGGCAGAAGCTTGAGGGGATGCTGAGCTGAGGGGGCGGCTCGTTGACTGTTGTTGAGAGGTAGCGGTGGAAGATTTGGGACCAGACGACGAGGATGGATTGCCGGGTATTGTTCGTCCGTGATGGCTGGTGGTGCACGTTTATTTCGATGTCGGCTTGGCTGGTTGCTAGTAGTTACCTTCTTCCTCATGGTGATGAATTCCGTTCGCTTGGGAGAGTCCCGAGTAGTGGCACGGTGAGTTCCGCCACAATTCACGCACTTCGGGTCGGTGTCATCAGCTTGAGCACAGGTCGCCGTCGAGTGGGCCATAGCACACTTGTCACAGCGTGGTTTCATATGACAGTTCTTCGAGCCATGGCCGAAGGAGAGGCAACTTGTGCATTGGGTCACATCACGGTGTTGCTGCTTGTAGTATTCCCAGTCGATAATGACCTGAAACAGGTCACGTATGTTGCTCATGAGCACAGCAAGGGTGGTGGAGCCCTTCGTGAGGTGGACCAGAAACAGTTGGTCACGATAGTTGGTATTCGGCATAGGCCGTCGATTCATTGGGTGGACTGCCTCTGGTTTCAATCCGAGCCTCACCAGCTCATCTTTTACGGTAGCCGCTTCGTACGACGGCAGACCTCGTAAAACAACCTTCAATGGTTTCATCGAAGGCAAATCGTGAGTGTAAAACTCCACTGTGCTGTTCTTCAGCAGGTCACCGACCGACTTGTACTGCTGTAGGCTGGAGCACATGATCTTTGTTCCAACGCTACAGATTTTGAATCGCGTTAACAATTTGCGTTTTGCCAGCTAATCCCTAAGCTGGGCGACGTCCTTCATCGGGGTAAACAGTGGGGGAATCCGCTCCTTTTTCGCAATTTCAGCGGCGTCACCACCGCCATTTTCTACTCTGAGCACCGAGAATTGGTTACTATGTAGCAGCCGATTTGCTGCGTCATCCGAAGCAGCGCTGGGATCCGTTTGGGCCTTCTTTCTAGGGCCCTCCGATGCAGGAGCAGTAGTACGCTTGCGTACCATGCTTTGTTTATTGGCAAGTGCAATTAGACTTGGCAATGCGCCTGTAGCGAAGCGAACGAACGAACGAACTATACTGCTAGACGATCTAGCAACGAATTGTGACTGTAAAACATATCTGGTCCCTCTATATATACAATTTGATTAACTTCCTAAGTCCATCCTTTTTTACATATTCTGCACAAAAAAAACGGCGGGAAATCCTGTCAGGTACGGTTTCACATCGTTCTGCTTGAACCTGTAAAGATATAAAAAACCGCTGCTGTCGTGCCTCTGCTCATTGCCGCTTCGGACGGCGTGGCCAGGGGTTGAAACAGTTGACGTTTTTTACTACACTCGCTTCGTTGTCGTGCGCGACAGTCTGTTTGTATTCGAACACTCATGCTCTACCGTCGTATCTCTCACACAACACGAGTGGTAGAATAACATTCGAGCTAAAAGAAAATTATCAAAATAGCTATCATTTGACATGTGTGATTTCGTTGTAATTCCTCAATTTGGTGTAAATCAAACGATTTCTGATCAGAATTATTATTACTAGGACATCATTGTTTGCTATTTTCAGAATTCACACAAGCACAACATCAGCAGCTCTTATTATGAGAAAAACAAAAATACATACATTGGTGACGGTCTTCGGCGACAGTGTCGTATGACAGAGCCTGTCATATGACATTTTAGTTTGGCACTGTACTATGATAGCTTGTTTTGCAAGTGTCGGAGGCAAAGGCAGTCAATTATCACAGAAAATGTGTCGACTACCGTGACCGCTTACA